AAAGGGGTACGAGTGTGCATCTCTCTCTCTCTCTCTCTCTCTCTCTCTCTCCCACACACAAGGTGTGTGTCTGTCTCTGTCTGCTGTGCTGTCTCCCCTCCCTCGTGTTCGTGCTGCCTTGTGTGAGAGGCTACATTAACAACAATATGTTAACCCTTGAGGGCTCAGCCAAGTGCTAGTTCATCATTTAGCAGTAAGACATTCCCTGGGAAATATCCCACCCTCTTCCACCCTCTGACTTCCCCACCTCAACCAAGCTTCACAATCATCATAGCTGTGAACAGTATTAAATTGTTTGTTTAAAATGTATACTGTGTGTATATCTATATAATACATCGTTTTTTGTCTGGTGAAAAAAATTTCCCTGGAACCTAACCCCCCCATTTACATTAATTCTTATGGGGAAATTGGATTCACTTAACATTGTTTCGCTTGAAGTCGCATTTTTCAGGAACATAACTACAATGTTAAGCGAGGAGTTACTGTATCTAAAACCCTATACTGGCTACCAAATGTATCTATTTTTTTACCAACTGTGTATGGACTGTTATAAATCACTACACATCTCATTAACAAACAGGTATATGTACCGACTAACCAATTCATTTACAGGGAGAAGTTGGAATGAAATCATATTCAGATCCCCAGTATTCCCAGGAGAGGGAAAATCTGGGGACGAATCAGTACCACACGAAACATATTGCTATTGTCATGTGTGATCTGTAAGTCTTAAACACTGAAACCAAAGCAGTTATTTCCAGAATAAAAGTGACTGGTGATTTCAGACGGAAAATGGGGATGGTTCTCCGGAAAATTACTAAGCACCAGATTCTGCCACCCTTGCTCACGTTGAATAGTACCTTACTCCTTGTGTGGTTATCTTGAAATTAATGAGCCAAGCTGAGGTGTAAATATTACTCAGCATGAATAAGAGTAGCAGAATCTGCCCCTAAAGGGACTTCTGTTTGAGTCTGAGAGAACAGTGGCATAAAGATGTTATATGTTTAACGCAAAATCGATGGCATTGCTGTTTAGACCACAGGAGAAGTCCAAACGGCCAAGAGGACAGTTTCCCCAGGTTTAGGTCTGATTCTTCAAAAGCTTGAGAGAATAAATGCAACAGAGATGTAAAATGATTCCAAGACCACAGGCTCTTCTTTACATTAGGCTGCCAGTTATCTGACCTGATAATGGGCTTTCAGGCCTCTAATTTGAAGAAGGTCTTCTTTTTATTTATAGCAAGGATCTGAGCTCAGCAGCTTTTGACATGCTGGAGAATGGGTGCTCTGAACAACTTTTCTGCCTCCTTCATTACTGAGCTGGGTTTTTGGGAACTGCTGAGCATGCCATGTGGGGAAGAAGAAATGTTACAGATGTGCCTGAGGCTGGACAGAATATAAACCCTTGAAGCCCAAGACAGTTGAAATTTCAAAAGAGCCTGTCACAGTTCTCTGTACTATACACTATGAATTGTATTTAAATCCAAGCCTGCCACTATGCAGTCTGTCTAACTACCTGGCCATTAAGTATATCCGCTTCATGTACAGAATACTGCTTGAGTTCATTATTAAGGCAACCTTTGCAATCTGTTTTTGTTTGCCTGTCACAGCATTTATGCAAAAATAAAAATATCAGTAAACAAACAAGAACTGAGGTGCAGTATTATACTGCTCTTCCCAAGGAAAAATGGTCAGTGAGACCGGCCTTCAGTGAAATCAGTGAATTTTTTTTTAAAGACAGATTGATATTTAAATATTTTATTTTAAAGGAAGTAAAAGCTCATAAGTGGCAAGTGATAGCGAAGTGGAGAAAAGACCCCATGGGAGCCTATTTAAACTCTCTCAAATCTTTTTCAAGTCTCCTTCTATGAGAACAGAAATGAAAGGCTGAGATTTTCAGAGAGTTGCTTCCCTTAAGCTCCTTTGAAAATCCCAGCTCCTTGGCCCTTATTTAAAGACCTAAAAACATGGTTTGCTATTCATGAGTGCCAAGCACCTAGCAGCGCTGGTGGGTATTCAGCACTTATGAAACTCAGGCTGCTTGTTTGAGTGCCTAAATATTGACGTAGGAGCTTAACTTTGTAGGCATCTATTTTCTGAAAATCGTGGCCACTGTCTTCATGCCATAATTGACTTTCCATTTAAGCATCCTGCCAGCCGCATCATAGACTGCTCCTGCCGAGGGGATAGGGAACTCCATAAGGGCCCCAGTCCCACAAGCAGCTCTGTGGAGGCAGATCCCCATGGACTTCAGTGGGGCTCAGTGTGAGCATAGGAGTCTTGCCCACGAGGAGTGGTTTGCAGGTTGGGGACTTAAATCTTCACTCAGCATCTGCTTCGCTCAAGGCTGTTAGGTCCTCCAAAACCAGTCGATTGCCCAGGATTCACAGAGGCTCTGTGCCAGTTACTGGTTCCCCAGAGCCTTGGCGGCACAGTTCTGGTAACGCCATATTGCTCCTTTACTAGTCGTTGCTCTTGGAGCTCAGCCTCCCTTCAGGGCTGCGGAAGGAGATGCCACGCTGTGGAAAATCATTGCGGATGGAGCCCTGTGGATTTGGTGTGAGATGATGCTGCGGAAAGTGGCAAGCTTCTTCTGCCACCGCGGCTTGATCCCAGTGAAGGGCTTCAGGGAAGAAGCCTGGGTGAAAAAGACAAGAAGTGCCACTCCCCCTCATGCTCTGCCCACTTCTGCAGATCAGCTGCCATGAGACGAGGGGATGACAGGGCTCCAAATATTTCTGCCATGACCCTGTCTATGAGTGAGTACAGTATGAACAACAACATTAATTAAGGAAAATAGTTCTCCACCTAACTCCTGTAGATCTTGAGCCATGCAAATGAGCAGCCTGTGTGCAGTAATCACTGGTTTGATATTTTAAACAACAGCCAGAAAGGCAACCGTATTGTTAGGCCTCCCACGTAAGCAGGTGAAACCTGCCTTAAGTATTGTTCGAGCCGAGATTGGTCCAACCTTATGCTGCTGGTGCTGCTTTTATTGTTTTTTGTTGTTTGTACTTTGTGTCACAAGCTGTAATTTCACGATGCCTTGGGTGTCTTTCAAGAATTATAATTAACAGTTTGGCACATGGCAGGGGGGGACTCCTGTTTTTTTCTGTCTGTAAATAACAGATTTTTCTCTCTTTCTCTCCCTGTTTTTCAATTTGGATTTGCTGCAGGTGCATAGGCCCCCGTATTGAGGACTGCATCGGCCTGATGGATAGGTACTTGCTGAGTACTTTGCTCCCACTGTCCCCCTCCCATACTCCACGTGTGGGCCAGGGCGTGTGTGTGCATGTCCCTGTGAATGGCGAATGATATTTTCTGTTCTGTAATTGCCTGCAGGTGTAGAGGTCCCACTAGTCATGACTGCATTTACTATCCATGGACGCGCCAGTCCACCTTACCACAGCATGCTAGGTAACATCCTCCATCTTTCCATCTTGTACCTCAGGATCCTTTCCCAGTTACCATAGGAGAGTCGTACTAACCAGTTGGGTTAGAAATATGAATTAGACTGCGTAAATTGTGTCATAATGTATCTTCAAGAGTAGGATATATACAGTTCAGCTTTTAGGTTGTTTTACAGTGTGGGGGAGGGATAGCTCAGTGGTTTGAGTATTGGCCTGCTAAACCCAGGGTTGTGAGTTCAATCCTTGAGGGGGCCATTTATGGATCTGGGTCAAAAATCTGTCTGGGGATTGGTCTTGCTTTGAGCAGGGGGTTGGACTAGATGACCTCCTGAGGTCCCTTCCAACCCTGATATTCTATTAAAGTCAAATTAGCTATGCTATTAATAAAATTGGTTGAAAAATCCCCAGAGCTATTCTGTATGACCTTTTTTTTGTCAACAAAAATTCACAACTAAACAAAACTAAACATTTCATTTAATTGAGATTTTCATTTAGTTTCGGTTTTTGAAAGCCAAAATGAAAAAATTGAATTACAACTAAGTGATTTTCTTTTTAAATTTGTTTCTCAAAATTTAACTGTGTTCATAAAACATCACAAAGTAGATAAATCTATTTTTCTACCAAAAAAAATTATCCCAAAAATTGTTGACTAGCTCTAGCCACCTTAATTGTTAATTTACCATTCAAAAATGGCACTGGAAGTTGAGAAATTCAGTCTCTCCTTGCATCAGGTTTGGTCTAAAATGCATCCATGATGAACAAGCCAAATTTATGTAGGAAGAATCTACATATGTTTGAGTTTAAGTTAGGCCTCTATGTTCCCCTTTGTTATATCCCATTCATGTCCTATGATTTTTTTTCATTGGATTTATTTTCAATTCAAACTGGTTAGTATACTTCCAGGCTCTTAGGGTCTAGAACCTGACTAGGAGTTTTTCCTTTCAACCAACTTCACCTCATAAAGCATTCTAGCTGGTTTTCCTCAGAGGAGCCGAATTTTTTTTTTTTAAATGTTTCCATGCCTCCAGGTTACTTATTCAACATGAAACTCCTTATTTTCTAGCTGTTGACTGATAGTGTTTATACTCAAGGGAGAGTGATGTGAAAAAAATACAACTAGAAATGCTAGCCAAATCTCCTTCTTAAATGGTCTAGGCAAGATCCGTTAATTTTTGTTCCAAAGCCCAATGCAGTTAATGGGAAGAGGTTCAGATTTTCAGGAGTGCCTATTGATCATGGGTACCTCAGTCTGATGAAGTGGGTATTCACCCACGAAAGCTTATGCTCCAATACGTCTGTTAGTCTATAAGGTGCCATAGGACCCTTTGTCGCTTTTTTCCGTTTTGAAAGGCCCAGCTTAAGACTCATTGAAAATAAGGGCCTCTTAAAGAATCTCAGACTGTGTACCAAAAACTGAGGTGCCCCAAATCACCAGGCACTTCTGAAAATCTTGACTTCATTGACTTCACTAAGCTTTGAATCAAGCCCTTTGGCCCCAAATGAGCAAAGCACTTTAGCACATGCTTAACCGAAACAGCTTCAACAGAACTACACACGTGATTAAAGTTAAGGACGTGCATAAGTGATTTGCATGATTGGGGTCTTGGTTGTTTCTTTAATTATTTACAATATTGTATTTTAAAATGAGAATGGAATAAACAAAATCTTAAGAATGTTATATGCTTTGTACTGGAAATACTGGGAAGATTATTGGTAAGTAATGACATCACGCCAGTCATTGTGTACATCATCTGTGGTCTCCAGTATACATATTTTAAGTGAAGCTGCTTGATATTGTTAGCACAATAGGGGGAGAGCACATCAGACTATTCATTATTTGATTTAACTGGCAGAACTGTAAGCTTAACTTTGACTTCAGAAGATGGATTTATTGTCTAGATACTTACTTAAATCTCCAAGGGCATGATCCAATGCACATTGAAATCAATGGAAAGACTCACATTAATGTCATTGTCTGTTAGATCAGATCCTAAATTTATGTAGCAAAATGAGTAATGAAATATGTGAGAGACAAGGTGGATGAGGTAATATCTTGTATTGGCCCGACTTCTGTTGCTGAAAGAGACATGCTTTTGAGCGTATACAGAGCTGTTCTTCAGGTCTGGGCCCAGGCTTGAAAGCTTGTCCTTTCACCAACAGAAGTCGGACCAATAAAAGATATTACCTCACCCACCTAGTCTTGTTAATATCCTGGGACCAACATGCCTACAGCAACGCTGCAAACACTAATGTGGAAATGTGCGGAATTTGGGATGTGGCACTGTGCTACAGATGATATTTGCTAGTATGAAATCATTTTTCAAGACCTTAAAACAAGCAATGCAGATCCTTTTTATTTTAAGACGTGTAGATAAGTGAATTCATCTCTCTGAATCTGTGATCTGATGTCAAGTCAGTAAAACAGACTGCTGAGATGTGTGTGGGCGTGGGTGTGAAAATTAAAGTAGATGTTTTAATCCATTCAAATGAGGCATGTCCTGCTCCATTCCGTATGAGAAATGAATGACCCTCAATTATGGAATCTGGAAAGCCATTTCAAAGAAAGAACATTTCTGTTAAAACTGACAACTTTGCTACATTTATTTTGTGACTATGATTGCCGTGTAAATGTGATTAAATTTTAGGATGTGTATGTTTTGTCACTTTCAAACCTGCGTTAGAAATTTCAGAGCCAGTTTACAGCTTCCAAACCTACATTTGTTAATTTTTTTTAAATGATCCATTTTTAAATGATGCCCTTTTTTGGGACAAAAAATAAGCAAAACTGCACTGGCAAAAATGGTATATTTTCTGTGTAATGCAAGTGGTGAAAACCAAAGTGTGTCTGTTTCACTTTAAATGGAACGCTTTACATATTCCTCTAGCTACCTTTTATCCACCATGACCTACTTCAGGTCATTAATGTCTAGTCTGCATCTTCACCATTGCTTCACATTGACTTGACTCAGTACTGGATTGAGAGGCAGAGTGCTCTGTTTTTCAACCAGCCAGCAGAAGATGAGAACAAAGTCTGTAATGCAGACAAATGAAATACTTCTCACTTCCTTCATCTGCTTCCATTTTCAAATCAATGTTGTTGTTTTTTCCCAGTTTTGTAATTTGCAAATTGTTTTTGCCATGATCCGTTAGCCTGAAGGCTTTTGCAAGAGTCTGGTAGGATAGCAGAAGAATTTTTACTGTCATGTTTAATAAAGATGAATCGGATGTGTGCTACACTGCTTGTTTTCCAAAAGACCAGCAGTCACATTTCAAAACATACCCTCTTTCAGCTTGTGTCTAGAGCCTTTAATGGTTATACATTATAATCCCTTTACTCAGGGATTTTTACTCCTAACATTTCCTAGTAGAATTCCACATCAGGTGATGTTAGAAATGCTTTTATTTTCTCATTTCCATCTGAACGGCACTTACAAAGGAGGAACATTTTACCCCTTTCCTCTAGACCAGTTGATTGATATCCAAACCGCTGTTAGATTGCTTGTTAGATCTATAAATACACTGATCCTTTGTTCCACAGTGACCCAAATTTATTTTCAATAAATTAAGTTTATCTTTACAAAGGGTTTCACCATGTTGTTAACTACCAGAAAAAGTTCAAACTATAAAGAGAGTAAATGTCTCCTTGAACTAACCCATAAAAGCTTTTAGAGCTCATGGGAGAAATGAGCATCTCTTATTTGTGGCTAGTTGCCAAATTCCAGCTCTTGTAACCATAGGAGGTACTGCACTGTAGTTCTAGTAATACTATGGAAAGCCATAGTTCTCCACATTTCTGACACATTCTGTTGTATTTCTGTAATATCTAGCATGGTGGTATCCGATTGAAATTTATGTGTTACGCTGACTTTAGGAGCAGATTCTCTCACTGGCTTCTGCCTCTTTGAGCTGCTCCAGTGACACTAAGGAACCAGAAATGGAACAGACTTTGCCAGCTGAGAATTCCTAAAGCAAAGGGGACACCTTGGCTGGCACAGAGATGGCATAGTTTATTCCTATATCACCGCTTGCTCTCCAGAACCTCAGCATAGGGTACATACCAGGCCTGGGGCCGGGGGAGGGGAGGGGAGAGGAGGGAAATGAGGGAGTACGATCAGAGTGCTATTGAACTCTGGTATTCTCAGCTAATTTTATTGGGACATGTTTGCACACCAATCCTTTCATGAAAACCAAGAGGAAAAGAGAGGTGAATTGTGTATACTATGCAGAGATGTACACCGGGATTTTCCAGGGAACCTATAGGCGCTCTATGCCTAGCTCCAATTGAATTTCAGCAGGAGCTGAGACCTATTGGTTTGAGCATTGGCTTGTTAAACCCAGGGTTGTGAGTTCAATCCCTGAGGGGGCCACTTAGGGCTCTGGGGCAAAAATCTGTCTGGGGATTGGTCCTGCTTTGAGCAGGGGCTTGGACTAGATGACCTCCTGAGGTCCCTTCCAACCCTGATATTCTATGATTTTATGATTCTGTTCCCTCAAGTGCCTTTGAAAATGCCAGCTGTAATGATTATGAGGAGACTTTAGGAGTAATTGAAAGGGGGGTAGGGAGAGGGAGTGTGAAGAGAGAAAGTCCACCATCTTATTGAAAAAAGAAAAGAAAAAAACGATGCCCAGCAATACAGGTGTGGTCTTTTCCCACAGAATTTAACTGCCCAATTCAGTTATCCAAGCCAGGCCCAGGATAAAATTTAGTAGTGTTAATGTGTATCTAGGTTTCACTAAGTTGCCGGTATTTAAACTTTCAGATGAAGCATTCAAGCTATAATTCAAAGGAAAAGAATTCCTTAAGGAAGGGGTGAAGCTGCTATTTTTCTGGTATCAAGTATCAGAGGGGTAGCCGTGTTAGTCTGAATCTGTAAAAAGCAACAGAGGGTCCTGTGGCACCTTTGAGACTAACAGAAGTACTGGGAGCATAAGCTTTCGTGGGTAAGAACCTCACTTCTTCAGATGCAAGTAATGGAAATCTCCAGAGGCAGGTATATACCTGAAGGG